ACACCCACAAAAGAGCATTCATCAATAGTTTCTAAAAAAAAAAAAAAAAAAGAGGCACAACCCAGCATTCCTGCAACAGGAAAAAAGTATCCCTAAGAAAAAAGAAGAGAATGTTGGTAATAAGAGATCCAATTCTTACAGAAACTATAATCTGCAGACCAGGGAGTCTATGTATAATTGTCTCCCTGGAGCAAAAATGAAAAATGTGAGTACTAAAATAATCAATCCCAAGGATTACTACCTCTTTCTTCTACTACATGTGGGCACCAATGACAGAACAATGAATCTGAAAACAAAAACAAGAGATTACCAATAACTAGAGAAGAAAGTTAAAGAATTAGCACAAGTGATGTTTTCATCTGTACTTCCAACTAAAGGCCAACATCTAATGAGGGAGAAAAGGATTTTAGAAATGAACCATTGGCTTAAAACTGGTATCATCAACAGAACAGCTTCCTAGACCATGGCCTGCATTATCTACATGAAGGGCTATTGGAAAACATGGACTGCACGTCACAAAAACTGGAAAACAACTGGAAAACAGTTCAAGAAGCGTGGGAAACTCTGAAAAATATGATTATTAAAGCCCAGTCCAGTAAAATACCACTCAAAAAGAAAAACAAGAAATCCATGAAGAAACCAGAATGGTTGCCCAAAGATCTCTCTGATAAACCAAAAGACAAAAAACATAAATACAAAAAAATGGAAAGAGAAAAACATAATTAAGGCAGAATATCAGCAGCTAGCTCAAATCTGCAAAGATGAAGTCAGGAAAGCAAAGGCTCAGGATGAACAAATACTTGCAACAAAATTCAAAGATATTAAAAAAAGTTTCAACATAAAAATAACAAGAAATAAATCAAGGAAAGAGTCCACTCAAAAGAGAATATGGCAAGGAAGTAACAGGCAGTAGGGAGAAAGCAGAGCTGCTTAACTCATTTTTTGCATCAGTCTTCATGCAAAAAGAAAGTATAGCTGAACCTACCAAAAAAAACCTATAAAAGACAGACTAGAAATAAAAGTTAAAATAAGCAAGAAAATAGTAAGAGAACACCTGTCTGATCTTGATGAATATAAATCATTGAGACATGACGGATTGCATCTTAGAGCTGACAAATGTTATCTCAGAATCATTATACCAAATCTTTCAAAACTCCTGGAACACCGGGGAACTACCAGAGGATTGGAAAAGAGCTGATGTGGTTCCCATCTTCAAAAAAAGGAGGAAAAAAAAAACAGACCCAAGAAACTACAGACCAATCAGGCTAACATCAACACCTGGGAAGATAATGGAGAAGATAATAAAAAAACTGAGGCACTGAGGCAGGAGAAACCAAAGGTACAAGTACAGGTTAGGCGAAACCTGGCTCAAAAACAGTAACTGAAAGGGACCTTGGAGTCCTAGTGGACGATCAGTTAAATAAGAGCCAGCAGTGTCCAGCAGCAGCCAAAAAAGCTAATACAATCCTTGGTTGTATAAACAGAGGCACAGAATCAAAATCACATGAAGTATTACTACCGTTTTATAAATCCTTAGTAAAACCACACCTGGAATACTGCATTCAGTTTTGGTCAACACATTACAAAAAAGATGTTGAGACTTTAGAAAAAGTGCAAAGAAGAGCAACTAAGATGATTAAAGGCCTGGAGACTAAAACATATGAATCAATTGGCTGTGACTAGTCTAGAAAAAAGGAGGAGTAGGGGTGACATGATAGCAGTATTCCAGTATTTGAGGGGCTACCACAAAGAGGAGGGTGTCAACTTATTTTCCAAAGCACCAGAACGTAAGACAAGAAACAATGGATAGAAATTAATCAAGGAGAGAAGAACCTGGAATTAAGGAGAAACTTCCTAACATTGAGGACAGTTAATCAGTGGAATAGCTTGTCTTTAGAAGTTGTAGGGATACAGTCGCCTGCTTGAGCAGAAGGTTTGGATTAGAAGACCTCCAAGGTCCCTTCCAGTTCTATTCTGACTGATTGATACCTTAGAACAGGGGTAGTCAACCTTGGCTCTTTTATGACTCGTGGACTTCAACTCCCAGAATTCCTGAGCCAGCATGGCTGGCTCAGGAATTCTGGGAGTTGAAGTCCACGAGTCATAAAAGAGCCAAGGTTGACTACCCCTGCCTTAGAACATGGCAAAAACTGATCTACTATAGTATATGAAGAATTTCCACTTATTTACAAAACTCTAATGTAAAATATTTCAGAATACATGAACTAATGTTATGTTTATTGTCTAACCAAATATTAAGGTAATATCCAAAAAAATGTTAATTTTTAAGATGATGCTGTTATATGCACATATATCTACAAAATGTGAAAACTTGTTTTTTTTCTTTAAAGCAATTGTTTGGCTTTTGTCATATACACTATGCAAATTAAAATTATATTTTTTACATTAGGGCTTTAGTTTTATACATACCTGCTTTCAAGTAAACCTCACAGAATTCAAAGTGACTTTTATGGTAATATAAAATTTTGTTGCAAATAAAATAAAGTCATTACCTTTCTAATGTGTCTATTTTAAACATATATATACATTGTAGGCCTCAAAAGATTTGAGAAAGCAAGATCTCATTGATGTTCCAGGATTCCTATTTAATTCTATACAAATTATAGAACTGCACCTGAATCCCAGTGAATTTCTTAGAATGTGACAGTCAAACTATGATAAAATACTCATCAGAAAACATAACAAATTAATATGGATATGTTATTAGGAGGACATTTCTATAAAAATAGTGCAATAAGTAATGCTTAATTATTTTAAGTGACAATTTAAAGTAGTTACTTTAAGTGACAACACTGTCACAAAGTATAAAAGTTGTGAAAGATAGGTATGTTAGAATAAACCATGGGCTTGCCATGTAGATGCTTATTCATATCCTAACCAGACATACACTACTGTACTAAACTTTGGTAAGCAAAGTCTAGATTATATAAATATAAGATTAATACATTTCTTGACTGAGATATCAAAATTATTAAATTTTTCAATATTTCTCATTTTCTTCATGTTTTAAGGAGCAAAGGAAGTAGATACATAATAAATGATCAAGGCTGAGAATTCAGAAAACCAGATTGAAATATTAACTATAATACATGTTTCACTGAGAAATTTCAAACTACATCAGCAAATAGTACATGGCATTTAGCAAAGAGATTCGGAGCAATTAATCTCTCTGGCCCTCAGTTTTTTTCATTCCTTAAAATAGAACACAGATGCAGCTTTCAGTCTGAAAAACTAATCTCTCTGTTTGTGTGTATGTGTGTGTGTGTGTGAGAGAGAGAGGGGGGTGGGGGGGAAAAGAGAGAGAAACTTTTGTACTCAGCCATCAAATCTTTGAAGATTTCATTGCAATAGCTTCTAGTAATGTAAAACTGTTAAAATGCCTCTTTGGTTCTTCAAAACAGCTTCCAAGATGATGGCGAGAAATGCTTTAATAAAAATTTCAAAGTCAGTTTTGCTGAGCATGGTTTTGCCTCATTTTGCTTTTTGATATTGTAGGCATAATATTAATAAGAACTTTATAATATTCAGCATATTAATACTTGTAAAATGTATTGAGCAACTCTGGGAAGCTGTCCTAAAGGCAAAAATAATAATAATCCTTCTATGAAAACTATACTGATAAAAGATCAAATAATTCAACAATGATAAGAGTATCCATTAGATCACATAGTCAGGTTATAAAGCACAAAAGCAATGTACTGGTATATGCAAACATAACTTTAAATGCTTGGTATAGATGTGACACATCTGAAAATAAATCCCACTTGCCCTAAGCAAAATCCTAATAGCTTTTTTTAGCTGCAGGTAATTTCTAAGAGTTGCTTAAACAGGACTCATTCTCTACTTATTTATTTAGTAAATTTATATGGCCATTCATATCGTGTACATGATTGGGTGGATAACAGTCTGCTGTTTTTTTTTATTATCAGCAGATTATAATAATCTATAGAAAAACTGATGCTATACTGTTACACTAAAATAACAATTCTAAATAAGACTAGAGGGATGTCTCATTATTTGCAAGCCAAGTTACACAGGACTGCCCTGTTAATTTATTTATGAACACAATAGATATTGACAATTGGGCTATGACTTTAATATTGTAAAGAATGTTTCCATGATGTTTTAACAACATCTTATATTTAAACTTTAAAAAGATTTATATGTTATCTAAAAGTTTAAAATCTTTCAAATGAGAATTTAGTGCTTAATAATGTGCATTTATGGGATTAATACATGCACTTATGGGATTCAGTTATGGTTAAATAAATTTAAAATTTCAGAAACAACAATGAAGAGCTTCTTTGGTTAAAAAAAATAAAACCAAGCCCAATCTCAAGAAATACAACTGAATCATAACATTTTAAAAACCTGATGCACCTTACTAAAAAAATATATCTAAGATCATTAATGTTCAGAAAACAGTGGTAAAGCAAGTCATCTTAATGTCTCAGCATAAGAATATAAATGAAAGCTTGATATCAAGCCTCTTTTTTCTTGTGAAAGTTCATGATTTTTTAAAATTACACAATACATTCTTGTGTTTCAAATACACAAGACAGACTTATGTTTCTATTGAATCTAAGTCCCTAAGTCCTGGTATAACAGGGAATGTACTGATTTTTAGCACCAGTCATCCCTATGAAACTGTGCATGCTTACATTTCATGGGCCTTTCATGCATTTGCTGTAAAAGGGTCAACAAGTTAACTTCTTACTAGAAGTTAAATCTGAAATACACTTAAATCTGAATCCAGAATTCATATTGTAAAATCCAAAAATCTAAATCTAAAATTCTAATGGTATTTCAATAGAGCTGAAGCAAAAGTATTTTAAGGAGCACTCAGCACAATTAAGAGCCTCTTAATACAATCACTATTCAGTAACTTTGCATAGTTTTAAAGAATAATTTCAAAGGAATCACACTGCAGAGTAGGTTCCATTTTTCATCAGAAGATAATATAAAGTTGGCTATTCTACCTCATTGCTCTTGCTTTGTGAAAGAGCCAGGCTATCATTTGTCAGCTCCTCCTCCTCAACACTATTTCTGCTAAGAGCTTTGTTTTTTTTCTTCTTGGATTCCCCATCGCTAGCAGCACTGCTATCTTCATCATCATTGCCTTCCTCTTCATTGTCATCCTCATCACTTCCACTCCCATCATCTTCATCATCCTCATTGTCACCATCACTTCCTTCTCTGCGTAATGTGTTTTTCCCTTTCTTTTTCCCTGCAGTTGGGCGCCAATCATTGTCATCTTCACTATCATAATCATCTATATCATTTAGTTCTTCCATAGATACAAAATCTAAGAGAGGGCGATTTCTTCTCAGGTTCCACTTTTTCGGCTCATTTGTGTGCTCATCAACACCAGCATCTCCTTCATTGGGTTTCTCTCCCTCTTTTTCTTTCTCCTTTTTCTTTTTTGCCTTCTCATCTGCTTCTCTATCTTCCTCCTCCTCCTCCTCTTCTTTTTTCTCAGTTTTAATAGTCTTTTTCTCTGTTAGTGGCAGTTCTTCTCCACCTGAATTTTTAAGTTTTTCCTCTGGTTTTTTTTCTTCTTCCTCTTCTTCTGCCAGCTCTTCCTCCAATATGTTTTCTTCTGATTCACTACAGGAACCTTCTCCGCTATCCTTTGATCCATCTTCACTGCCATGTCCACTGCCTTCAGAATCTGTTGAGCATATGAGAATTTAAAAAAGGAATTCCAAAATAAAATGTACCAAAAAAAATTGTTAAAGAAAGCTTGAGGCAATCTGCTTAGTCAAATTAAATATTATTTTGTTAGTAGCCAGCTATTTTTATCTGGGTAATTTTTTCCCCTTGAAATATCATTTTATAATAAAAACATATGAAGATTGTTTTGTTTTTTTTGCTAGAATAATAAGTAGCTGTCTTTCTGTCCCATTTATGACTAGCTGGAAACCACAAGTTTAGACATACAGCTCAGCACCCAACTAGTTTCACTTAAGTTTGCTAGACTAATTAACTAAATATGTGATTTAAACAGATCAATAAACCATTTCACACAATAATTCTTTCTAAAATAATTACAATTCTTGAAACAATCGTATCAAACTTTTTGTACATTGTCATTTAATTAAATAAAGATTGTAGTGTAGCTGTATTTAATTGTAAAAGAAATCTAATTTATTCAACATATACATTGATGTTTATTTCCTATTTTCTGTAAAAGTGCCATCAGGATCTTTTTGGATGAAGAGAAAGAATAACATATAAAGCAAAATGTTAGGATTTATTTGGGTATATTTAAGCCACTACTCTAGTCTTTGAAACTTTAGTTGGTTGTTTTAGAACAAACAACTAAGTTATCATGATATAACATTTATATACAGAACATAACTTATGAACAGGTGTCTTAGCTATGGCTACTTGGGAATATTTTTGTTGAAAAAAACAATAATACTTGTTACATTAATAAATAGCTACATGTATATCTTTTTATGCAGATACACAGAATAGATAAAATTATAATGTTCTCAAAAGGTCTTATACATGCAACAAAAATGCAACAGAGAGTCATATGAATGACTTCATTTTTCTAAAAACCAGAGCATAACAGTACTGAGAGTTAAACAGTTTTAGAAACATCATTTGAAAGACAGCATGGCACTACAAGAAGGCAGTCCCCATTTATGCTCCATCTTTTTATGAATACATCTAATTTTTCCTATACATCTGATTAAAAAAAAACCTCTAGAACAGGGGTGTCAAACTGCCGGCCCGCAGGCCGGTTTCATCATACCGGAGCCGCACCCACCCCATTGCCGGCAATGGTGAAACAGCTCCGTGACATCGCGAGTTTGACATGCCTGCTCTAGAATTTTTCCCTCATTCTAGTATGCATATGCCATTATTCTTTGGAATAAAGCATTTTAGCTAATCAGTAAACAAAGTAGAATATGACTATTGGATTCAATGAAATACTTGGATAATTATTAGTGTGCTACATTTAATTGGAATATCCCTAAATTAGCATTATATGAAACCTCATATACTCTATTGTTGAAACCTATTGCAAAGTCTAGCAATATCTGGAGAAGAATGGAGCTACATATCATTTTCAACCAAGAAACAGCAGCAGAGCTTCTAAAAGCTCCAAAGGTTCAAGGCAATATAGAGGACTCTTCTTCCTGATTTTCTAGCATGAACAGAAGCTGGGGAAGAGAAAGCCATCACAAGCACCAATTAACAAAAAAGGCAAACTGAGACAGGACAATTAGATAGGCAACTTGAATTCTACTAGAAATAGTAAATGTCTTGTTTTCATCTAATCTGAGTGTAAACCGAGGAGCTGAAACAATAACATTAAATAAGATATATAAATATATTTGCTAAGATAATATTCTTATCAAATATAGATGGAAACTACATACATACACAAAAACGTGTATGGTAGTATATGTCTATATGCATGCTCAGAGATGCCTGCATTGCATACAGACACTTTTATATATCACAATAGCTGAAAAAGTCTTAGCAGGTAGCACACTTGGTTAGTGTTTGGATGGGAGTCCTCTAGGCAATATATCAGGGCTGTATTCCTGGCTCCTGAAAGATTTTTTTAAATTACTGTAAGAAATAGTGACAAAACTCTTTCATACAGTATTACTAACAAAGAAATAATATAATGTGTCCATATAATCAGAGCAAATGAATTCAATTAAAAGGATATTTTATTATTGATAAAGCTGATAAAAAAATCAACTTATGGTAAGCTTTTTTTATGCTAAAGTGAGTCCCTATTACTTATTTTATCATTGCAAAACGTTCTTGCTTTTGCAAATTAAAAAAAATAATTGAAAATAATTTGGCAAGGAATCTTATAAACCTAAAGTCTATGCATTATAACATATATAATGTTAGTATGTTAAATGAAAAATGCATTACTATTCATGAAATATAGTTATATATTAGTTCTCAAAAGATTTCAGTAATAAGAAGTATAATTAAAATATGCAACTTTTTTGCATATTTACCTATATTGACTGAGTGATGTCTATAATATTCATATAAAATTCTCTAGGATAATCACCAATTATCATTAAAAATGTTTAATTGTATGTATACAGATATGCTATATATGGAGTGGTACATGTTGTGGTTCTTGTCATCCATCCTCTCCTACCACATACTTTTCTCCAGTGAGACAAAAAGTGAATTTGCAGGAGGTTCCCTCTCTTAACATATGCACAAAACTGAGTGAGTTGATCTTTCAGTTCACTGTAGCAGTAAAAAGGGATTTCAATAATTTAAAGAAAGTTTTATTTCCATCTCTTTCAAAAGGAAAATGCCAATAGTTCAACTCATTTTAAAAACTTTGGAAGGAATCTTTAACTCATTTAACTTTTAATTGGTTTCTATATTCTTATTTAATATATTTATTTGCTGTCTCAGAAATTGTCTTTCTTCTTGAATTATCAGTTACTGTAAATCCACTGTAATAAATACAATGAATGTATTGTTCTTGAGGCAAATTGGAATGTCGGAGTAAACCAGAAGATGGGTGAGAAAAAGCATGGCAAAATCCTGGACTTCTTGGTTGAAGACTTCGTTGGTCTCCCAAGCCTGAGGGTAGAGTGATTGTGGTGCCTTCTTTATTTTATATTATTTTGGTATTTTGCTTTCCTGGTTAGTTGTATGTCGATTTTTGGTTGTAGGCTACCTGCAGATTTTGGGACATTGGCAGCCTATTAAATAAATAAACAGCACCAAAATTGTTAAAAAGATAATAATGAACAGTGTTTCCTATATAAAAATGATAAGAAACAATTTTAATTCAGGACAAATCTTTAATTTAGATTGCCTAATCCAGTCAAAATTGCATAAATTAGTCTGAAATACTGATATTTATTGTAATTAGTCTCATCTCAAGTAAAATATAACTCAAGGCTTCACATCATGAACTGCAAGGAAGACTGTTGCAATATTATAAATTTCAGAATTTTAAAGAACTGAAAATGATGAATCAGTTTTAATATTCTTATGTATCAAAACTGGCAATCTTCAATAACCATTATCATTTCATATTAAAATGATAAGCCAAACTACCTTTGAAAAAAATGCATTTCAATCATTTTATAAAAAATACATACTCAAATAACAGCATTTAATCAATCTAATGTAGGGGACCAGTAAAGTTTTTTTTAAAAAAAACAGAAGTGTAGGGTTTTTTACCCTTTTTAAGCTATTATTTCCGTATATCTCTAACAACCATTCCTATAATTTCTAACCAGGACTTCTAAAATTATGAATTATAAGAGTTGTAATCCAATGCATTTTGAGGTCACAAGGTCGGAAAAGTCCTCATCTGGTTTCAAGAAATAAAATTAAAATATTGCATTATTTAGCCATTTACCTCACAAAAATGTTACAAACTAAATTAGCAATGACTTGTACAAAGTCATGCAGCAAGTTTCAAGAATAAGAATTTGGGACTTCATAACTGTAGCAGATATATGAAAATATAACTGCCTTTTCAAATGTTGTGCTCTCCAGCTGAACCTTATTAGAGTAGCATGGACATTTTGGATTAAGAAAACTTCTGAATAGGAAAGTTGCCATATGGTATTACTATAGTATAGGTATTTTTTACTGATGCACTGAAAAAGTAGATTCAAATATAAAGTTGTTACAATGCTACAGTGTTTACTGTTGAAAATATAAAGGATGATTATGTATAGCTTGTATGAACTCTGATATGGTAATATAATAAACTTCAAATGTGTATTCAGATGAGTGTAGTGGCAATGCAACAAAAATAGATTTCTCCCAAAGCATTTTCTTTAAAAATAACTTATCATATACAGATATCCAAATGTACAAAGAGCTATTTAAGTAGTACCTAATCCATCTGCTTATTTAGTATGACTTTCATGAAATTAATAATGTACTAAACAATTTGAATGTCATACAGGCAGTATTCCAATTCCTTTAGTGTTTTTTCAAATAATATTTATATTTTAGGCAATGACCTTTTGGGGGGAGGATATCCCCACAATATCTGGGAGATTTGTTAGATAGTAAAATTGATTCAATGGTATATCTATAAAGCCTGACATCCCCTAATGTACTGCCATTATAACTCTTAGAATGCCCACTCAGATTATATTTGATAGAGACTTCCAAGGTCCAGTACCATGTTGACTGGAATTGCTAACACTGGTCATAAATTCTGAGAGTCAGTCACAATATATACAGAGGATGTCAACTTGGAGAAATCAGATTTAAAGGATAAGCTAGATTCCATAACCCAAATATATGACAACTTTACATAAGATACACAGCCTAGTTGTTATAGCCTAGATGAACAGAAAATGTGCTACCAAATGAATATTTTATAAATTTTCATTTATAAATAAAAAATTAATGATACTAGATATAATTAATTTCAATTAATAATTTGAATATTAATTACTTATGGTACTGATTGATCACTTTGAATTCATTCACCAAACTCTTTCAAATTTAAAAAATTAGAAATTATTTCTTTATGTTAACGTGTAAAAATATTATTTATCAAGATATCAATCGGATTTAAATTAGCTTAATGTTATATAGCATACTCTGATAAATTTTACAGTTATTGTTATATGTTACATATCAGAGATAAGGAAACTTTACCCCTATAAATGCCAGAGAACTAGAATACCCAGCATTCAAACTAATGTGCCCAATAAATGGGTATGCTGAAAATGTAATTCAGCACTGCAAATCCCACAGTCTCTTTGACCCTACTTACCTTGGTTATACTCCAACAACTGTTCACTAATAATAATGACATGTAGCTTGCCATGTTAGCAGAAATAATAAATAGAACCTGTTTAATGTGACATAATCATAGTGCCTTCTACTCATCTTGCAAATCAAAAACATATAAGCTCATAGCATTAAACATAAACAAAATATCTACTTTAAATAGAATTAATCCAAATTTATATTCATTAATAGCTATATTTTATAAAATGACAGAGATTCTTAAACTACCTGCATTTGTCACACTATAATGATTTTATAATTGCCCAATAATCAATAAAAGGCTTATTGGATTCAACATTATTTTGAACAAACTATTGTTCCATTGCCAGCTATAAAAATGATTAGAAACATTTCCTCGTATACATTTATATATAAAGTGCAGTGAATAATTCATAATTGATTCGTAATGTATATCCAAATCTGCACTTACAAGATAAATTAACCTGTGCAAAGCAAAACAATTATTATATAGGGATTCCAAATTTCATTTCTCATATTTAATTTAAATTTATCTTGATTAACATGATTCTGCAGAAGAAGCTCTATACATTCTATTTATTTTATATCACATTTTGAAACACATAATACACAACTCTACATGCCATTACTTCAAGGTGCACCCATGTGCCATGCTTCATTTCTACATTCCCAGCAGCATTTTATCTTGCATTCTTGTTTTTTTTTAAAGATTTAAACTAAAGTTTTTTTAAAGCTAAAATCAAAAACTAGATGGATAGAAGGTTCTGAAATCTCTAGATAAAAATAGTCTAACATCAAATTATGTAAATCTTTTACTGAACTGCTAGAAGATATAATAGAAACTGGCTAACATCAATTAATTAATGAAGAAGACGACTGAGAAAATAATGGTTATTTTCATTATTACAGTATTATGCAGCAGGGAGCATGCTGGATAACAGTTCCAGCTTTCTTTTTGCATTATACAGGTAGTCTTCAACTTACAACAGTTCATTTAGTGACCGTTCAAAGTTATAACATCATTGAAAAAAGTGACTGATGACCATTTTTCACATTTACAATCATTGCAGCATCGTCATGGTCATGTGATCAAAATCCAGATGCCTGGCAACTGACTTATATTTATGACTACTGAAGTGTCCTAGGGTCATGTGATCACCTTTTGTAACCTTCTGACAAGTAAAGTCAATGGGAAAACTAGATTCACTTAGTAATTGTGTTAGTAACTTAACAACTTCAGTTATTCATTTAACAACTGTGGCAAGAAAGGTTGTAAAATGGAGCAAAATTCACTTAACAAATGTTTTACTTAGCAACAGAAATTTTGGACTCAATTGTGATTGTAAGTCGAGGACTACCTGTATACCAAATGAAGGAAGGAACCAATATTATGAAAGCTGTGTCACTGAGAAGAGAAAATTACCCAGACTGCTCATGTGTTGAACATTTCAGGTATATTCCCTGACAGATTGAGAGTATGCAATAGTGGCTAATAGAGTGAGAGTAATCATGGAAACTGATTACTCACAAACACAGAAGAAATCAGACAGGCCAAAAATAAAAAAAAATAAAAGGGGAGGAGACTAGAAAAGCACGTAAAAAGACTAGTTGCAAGAAAAATAGGGTTCCTATGCCTCACCTTTTAATAGACGAAGACAGATAAACACATGATGCCCTCTCTCTCTTATGTCTCATTAATTGACTTGCCTCAATTCTTAAACTTTCATAAGTGTCAGAATGCTGCTTTCCTGTTTCAACGGTCATTCTCCTTATACTCCTTGATAGTTACTCTGTATTCATTCACGGTGGCCTATTTGGTTTGGTTCAGTATATTGCACAAACTCAATCACTTTGGTTTGTAAATTGTACATATATGAACCAATAGGGCCATATCATTATTGAATGTACTGACTCAGTGCAATGTGTAAATGCAGCCAGTACTCAGCTATGATTTACTGAATAAACTGTAATTGGCTTGGTTGCCATTGTCCAAAAAACCCAAACAAAGCAAAGTATATTATAGTTCAGTGCCATGTGTAAACCCACATTTCTAAAAATAGTTGTTTTATGTGTTATCTAGACAGTTCTTTTTTCCCCCTAGGAATAGTTAAGGTATGTTAAAAAAATGACATTTTATTTTAAAAGAAAGAAAAATAAAGCAAATTGATGGGGTGAGAAGCAATTTAAAACTATTTTAAAACATGAGAAGGAGAAGCATTGATTTACCTGAAGCATCTCCAACCTTAAAGTCACTGTCATCTGAACTGTCATAATCTAAAGCTTCCAGCAGGGAAGCTGCCAAAGGCTTCACCTGCCGCCTCTTCGAGCTACGATCCACTGCGAAAAAGAAGAAAGAGAAAGGGAAAGACGCACGGTTTTGTTGTTGTTGTTGTTCTGTGATCACTAGGGGTTATTTAAAGGGTAGGGGACGGAAAATAATCATTAAAAAAAACCCTTCAGACGCATTAAAGCAATGCAATTTATGCTTTGGAAAGAGTGGTTGGTAGGAAAGAAAAGGCTGCGTCCCTTTGGGGACAGCATGTCAGGGCGGAGGGTGGGGGGGAATCGCAGTGAAAGTGCCCCCATATGACGAGTACAAGGAAAAGGGATCCCGCAAACCACAACCGGAGTTAATGGGGTAGGGGAGGAAAATGCCAAGCAGATGCGGGCATCAACGCTTCGAGAGCACCGATGAGACGACGGCTCTCTCGGGCGAAGGGGAGCGAATAAGGAGTCGCTGCAGGGATGCTGCTGGACTTACTCACTGAATCCGAGCAGCTGCTCCCGGGGATACAGAAAACCGCCTGTACCCGGCAGGGAGCTTCGCTCCCTTCAGACCGCAACCGCGCTAGGGCTGAATGCGAGGCTGCGCGATCCCCTAGGCCAATTCCGTAACCCAGACAATAGGCGAAATCGTGCCCCGGATGCAGTACTCATCTCTCTAAACCCCGCTCAGGCGCCCGATACCCGCCGCTTCCGCTGGGTGCTTCCGCTGCGCGTGTGCCGAAGCTCTGCGCAGGCGCCCTGGGCAAACGAGACGTTTTGCCCGTCTTTGGCTCAGACGATCATGCGCTCTTTGAGTGGAAATGCGCTTTCCTATTCAGCACCTACGGACCAGAAGAAGCCGCATGTGGGTGTGGCTACCTGTTTCTAATCTCTCCCTTTCTCCGCTCGCGCTGTCTTGCTTCTGTATCAGCCTCTTTCATCCTTATAACCGAGGAAAGAGATGTAGCACAAGAACCACTGATTTGAGAACAAGCGTTAGCCGTCAGAAGTTGTAGGTGCTTCATCAGTGGAGGTTTTTAAGAAGAGACTGGACAGCCACTTGTCTGAATTGCTATCGGATCTCCTGCTTGAACAGAGGGTGGGGCTAGAAGACCTCCAAGGTCCCTTCCAGCTCTATTCTAACTTGATTGATTGATTGTACTGTATATCTTGCCATGTTCCACTACGCGCATCTATTGCTCCAACCGGCCTTTCAGATTCAGTCTTTTTAAAGATCCTTTTTAGATTTTTGCATTTATACTATTTAGCTTTTTATATATAATTTTATTTTGTTGTATATGTTATGCTTTTTAGTTTCTTGTATTCCACTCTTCTTATGCTGGTTTTTGACCACAAAGGCTTGATTTGATTTTTATAAAAGTGGCTGTCTCCTTATGGTAAGACCAGCCATGATGTTTGGTAAGAACATCTTTTCAAATCTATTCATCTAGTCTCTTGTATAATAACAGATGGAAGCAACTGTCATAACGCTGGCTCATATCAAGAAAAGAGTTAGAGCTAGTTAGTACTCAGAGGTCAACTCATCAAGAAATCTCAGAGCTGTAAACTAGACTGAATATTTAAAACAATAGTCTCAATGCAGTGGAAAGCCTTATAATCAGCAGGAGCCAAATTCATACAGAGGTATTTTATGGGGTATTTTTTGTCCATTGTGACCATTAATTAGCCACTGGAAGCCTACAAATAAGATATATGCAAAACAGTATCCCCCCATCTATCATTCTCTCCTTATTAAATTTTATGCAAGATTAAGGTTTAAAATGTACTACACATTCACAAAGGGACTGTTCTACCTCCTTGATTGTTTTGATTTCGCTTTTGTGTATTCTACCATATTTTACAATTGTCCTTCTAAGGTGTGGTCCCAGAACACAGACTTACATCACAACATGATCAGTTGATTACATCAGATTTGGTTTAAAAAATTATATTTTTAAATGTGAAGCATCCATGAGAGTTCAATAGCTAACACATTCAAATGAAGAAAGAATACAGTATAGAGCATCTTTTGGCTTTTCCTTTTAAAAACTAAGAAAAACGAAAAACAAGCTGCAATTTAACTGAAGCCAGTATGATGATCACCTACCAAACAATGTCTTATTCATTATTCATGAAACCCCAGGCTTCTTGAAATTCAACTTTCATAGTCTGATCAAAATTAAAAATAATTATCTTACCTATACATTACTTATAAATAAGCATGCTTACAATTAAATATTTTATTTCCTAAAGGCCGTTAGAGGTACCAGAAAATAATCTTTTAGAAGATAGGAATAAAATATTCAGAAACTCAAAATGGTCTGAAGTTGTTTATTGTCTTTTTAAAGGAAATGCATGTCAGCCTGGAAATGCTGGAAATTTTAGCCCCAATAAATTTGGAGGTACCAGTTTGGGACAGACTGGTATGCATACTTTGACTTGGATTTCTTTTCTAACATTTGAATTTCTGCTTTGGACTACTATAAAAATATCAAGAATGGAATTCATTTGTTAAGCAGTCTGGATGGACTGCCTTTGGTCATTATTTATAGACTTCAATTAGAGTGACAGTGTAACATTTTGTAATAGGCAGTTATTTGAATCATATAGCATTAAGATTATACGAACTCAAAATCAAGCTTTAAGACAGAGTTAAAAAGTAAAAATAGGAAGCTAGGGAAAAAAGTTCTGCTTTAATGAATATCAAAGTGATAAGGGTCACATGTAAAGTTCCAATTAAACTAATGTATTGCTATGGAAGGAATCTAGTCAAGGGTTCTCTGGTAAAACCCTTGGGTTTTGTGACATACAATGCTTTAAAGTGAGTCATTGCAATCAATGTGTGGTGACTGAATATAAAATTCTGCCAAGGACAACAATAATGACCAGTTATCTTTGCAGTAGGTATAGAAATATCTTAAGGATTGTTAGAGCATTTGAGGATATCTCACCATTGGGTTGTGGTGGGCTGAAGAAAAGCTTACCTGAACATTAAAAAATTGGAAAAGTGCCCTTCAAAAGCAAACTAATTATCCCTGTCAAAAATTACTCTAGATACCATGCCTCTATAGTGAAAACCATGGTCCAAAAGAAGTTGAGCAATCCCTTGCATGGGATAAAGTGAGCTATCTTGGTAAAAAGGTCCACTGCAACAAATATGGATGTGCAGTCACTGATAAAATAATAAAATCCAGCCCTACTAGTTTCTGATGGTGGGATTTAGCCTTTCTACAGATGTGGCAAGATACACTTGATGTCCTCTGTCATTTTAGGACACTAAAAGTCTCTTAATGTTCTATGTAGCGTTTTGAACATTTTCCATTCCCTTGCTGTCTGGTTATTGTTGTATAAAGTAAAACCTCTCAAAGGTTCTTTCTCAAAGGTTCTTTCAAAGCCCCTTCCTCCAGTGGAAATGGGGATACAGTACGTAGTGGAGCTTCTTGGAGGGCATTCATCTAGGTTGGTGATTAAGTCCTGATGTGGTTGAGTTGCTCTTAATATCCCAGATGCCACTTGAGCAGGTAACTTATTTGAAATGAGAAGGTTGTAAAATGGTTGTCATTACTGGTGAATGGTGTACTTGAGAGAATTTTGGTTTACAGGACAGCTTCAAGCCAGGGACATAACTATATATAAAAATCAAATCGGGAGAAACATTTGCTCCACCTCACTTGCCTGGGGGAGAGTGGCTTGGTTTGTTGCTGCAACATTTTTAGGTTTTTATAATCTGGGCCAACCTCTATGAACCAAAGCATGCCTTCTAAAAAATGGGAGGTTTAGAATGTGAAAATCAAACAAGCAAATAAATAAAAAATCTTTTCCCCCTCCTGGTGCCTCTCACAAGAGAATGGCTCCAATTGCCACATTGGAGGCATCTGTCTGGCAATAAATGTCTTGGACAGATTGCTGAAAAAACTGTTGGCATGGAGAAAGATGTTTTAACTCTTCACGTGCTGCTTGCTGGGTTTCTATCTAAACAAATTTGATTACTTTCTTTAACAACTGTGTAAGGGATTTAACTTTATGGATGTTGCATAGGATAGTGAAAGTTTGCAAATCTTAAGAAGCTCTGAACATCTTTAGCTATGCAGGGAGTGTGCCACTCAAGCACCACTTGAAGCTTCCTGGGAACCATTGGAACCTCTTTTGTGGAAAGGCAGTAACCCAAAAAATCCAGCTGTTTCAAATCAAAAGCATATTTTTTTGATTTAGAAAAAAATAGTGCCAAAATAGTGATCACGTCTTGGTTGTCCTAGTGGCACAAAAGAGCGTCCAATGTGGCTTGGGTCAGCTGCTGCTCCAGCATGTGCGTCAGATGCGATTCTCATATTTTCATTGCAGTTTTTTGAAAAGTTTTGAGAAATGAGTTGACTAGAGTAATGTCAGGGGCAAAGATCAGGTGCCATTCATTAAGTTCCAATTAGATAAGATAAGATAACCTTTATTGTCATTTTTTTTACTGTGGACACAACGGCACACAAAAATGAAATTTAGTTGCCCGCTTTCAAGTGAAACACATACATGACACACACCTAAACATACTATGTACAACATATGTACAGACCCACATCCCTACATATACGTAGCAAATAAATATTAAATACTGTCCACCTTGAATATATAATGGAAGGAGGAAGCTTGAGAGTTTACAAAGTTAATGCTGTATAGAATGAAACTATGGCTGAATCTGGATGTTCTGCTATGGATACCATAAAGCCTCCTCCCAGAAGGTAACAAGGAAAACAGTTCTTGAAGAGGATGTGTAGTGTCCCAGATAATCCTATGGACCCTGCTCAAGCAACGCTTCTGTGCTATGCCCTGGATGGGAGGGAGGGAACTGCCAATGATCTTTTCTGCCATTCTCACCACTCTCTGCACCACCTTCCTGTCTGAAGCAGTGATGCTCCAAACCAGACTGTGATGCTGTATGACAGGATGCTCTCGATCGTCCCCCTGTAGAAAGTGATCTGGACAGGGGAAGTAAGATGTGCTTTTCTCATGTGACACAAAATGCAGGCGCTGCTGTGCCCGCTTCGCCAGTTTCTCACTGTTGAGCGACCAAGTCAGCTGGTCGTTAGTTGCACTCCCAGGAATTTGATGCTGGTAACTATCTCCACAGGTGATTAATGCACAGAGAAGTGTGGCTGTGCCTGCCTTTTCTGAAATCAACAATGATCTCTTTGGTTTTTCCGGTATTTAAAACTAGGCTGTTTTAATTAATTAAACTGATTTATTGCTGATACTTATGCACAAGAATCTAGTCAACTAGATATTTAATAATATTTTGATGCTAGATAAGAGTTAACTGAATTCTAGAGGGGCTGGGCTGAGTCCGCTTGTGGTAATGTAGATTCTAGGCTTATTCCTGTTTTGACTCTGGCTCTGGCTCTGCCAGTCCTTCCCCTACATTTAGATGAGCATTAATTCATTTTGTCCAAATTATTTTTTTAAGTGTGCACAGCTTTAAGAAATTGCACTAGGTACAAATCAGAATTCAGGTGTACCTAGTGCAGAATACTGCTTTTTAAGTCATTCAGAATGTTTATTTGATCTGGAGAAAGGTTATTTTGCTGTATAAGCCCTTTCAAATTTTCAGACAGATGTATAAACCTATAATATGAAAACATGTTGTGACTAAATTAAGGTGAACTATTTTTGTTATTGTATTTTACTGCATTG